TTTCCCCTCCCATCACAAATCCGACTGTGCCTACAGCGGATATCGTTTCAGTGGACGCAAATCCACCAAAATTTGATGGGAGGAACTGGCGCTTCTGGAAGACAAAATTCGAATCCTATATGGATGAACGAGGCCTCTGGGACATCACCACAGGAACTGAGACACTTCCAGATACAGCTACAGTGGATGAAACTGCGAAGTATCGCAAGAAGGACTGGAGAGCTTTGGGCAAATTCCATGCAGCGCTGGAGGGGCGAGAATTCCATTGCATTGGACGGTGCAAGAGTGCAAAGGAAGCGTGGGAGGCCATGAAGGCCATGGCCGTGGGATGCCTAAACCCTAAACCTAGTGCTGATAGAATCAAGCAGCTCGCACGCGAGCAGATGGTTGAAGGTCTAGACCTGGACCCAAGAGCCGTTCTTCCATTTTGCCAGGGCTGTCAGCTAGGAAAATCTACTCGCCAACCTTTCCCTAAGACTGGAGCATCTCGAGCTCAGAGCTCATGGAACTTGTACACACTGATGTGTGTGGCCCGATGGCCACCACAGCAGTGGGAGGTATCCAATACTTTATCAGTTTCATTGATGACTACAGTCGTCGCACTATGATCTACCCTATGGCTCGCAAATCCCAATCGTTACACTACTTCCAGACTTTCAAGGATATGGGAGAAACACAAATTGGGAAAATGCTCAAGCGATTGAGAAGTGATGGTGGAGGCGAATTCACTTCCAATGCTTTCAACCAGCTGTGTGAGCAAGGAGGGATTGTGCGAGAACTTACAACGCGAGAGACTCCACAACAGAATGGCGTAGCTGAGCGCAAGAATCGCACACTAGTGGAGAGTGCTCGGGCAATGCTACTTTCCAGTGGTTTGCCTCGCAGCTTCTGGTTTCACGCTGTCTTGACGGCGAACTATCTCCAGAACCGGCTCCCCACCTCTGCCCTTGCTGACATCACTCCTGAAGAAGCATGGAGCTACAGTTACGCATCTGAGAATATTCGGGTGTGAAGCGTGGGCACACATCCCTGATGGAATGCTCAAGAAATTGGACCCCAAGAGCCAGAAGGCTGTGTTTGTGGGCTACAGCCTCGATCACAAAGCCTATCGTCTCTGGAATCCAATCACGAAGCAGGAGATCCTGAGCAGAGATGTGGTTTTCAACGAGAATTCGTTTCTTCCTTCTAGTCAAGGTTCTACTTCCAGACCTACCTTGACCGAAGAAAATGACGTTGAAGCGGAACAAGATCAGTTGACTGTCGGCACGATCACTGTGCCGCTTCAAACAGTCCCTACGCAACAACCCATGCCCGCTTCTACTCCAACACCACCAACCCCGCCGCCTCCTCCAGATCCTCTACGCAGATCGATCCGCACAAGGCGGCCTACTGAGCGTCTCATCGAGACAATGGTCTCCTCTCGTGCAGCTGGGACTCCTACTGTTCCGAGGACCTATGGAGAAGCCATGGCCTCACAGGAAGCGTCTTACTGGCGTGTAGCAATGGAAGCCGAGATTGCTTCACAGCAAAAGAACGAGACACATGTTCTTGTTCCAACTGTGCCTTCCAATCGCCAGATTATCAAGAGCATGTGGGTGTATGCTCTGAAGCTTAATCCTGATGGCTTGGTTCGCTACAAGGCGCGATTGGTGGCAAAAGGATGCTCGCAAGTTCCTGGACTTGACTACAATGACACCTTTGCTCCAGTGGTTAAGCATTCTACTCTTCGTTCCTTGATTAATTTTGCTGCGGTGGGAGACTTTGATCTGGAACAGATGGATGTGACCGCGTTTCTTTATGGCGCGCTTGAAGAAGAAATCTATATGGCACAGCCAGAAGGATTTCTAGCCGCTGGAAAAGAGGATCATCTCTGGCTTCTCAAGAAAGCTGTCTACAGCTTGAAACAAACACCCAGATCTTGGTACAAACGCTTTGACGATTTTATACTAAGTGTGGGCTTTTCCCGTAGCGAGGCAGACCCGAATCTTTATATTCGGGTCGAGGGTGAATCATTTGTGATCATCGCTCTTTATGTTGATGATACTCTTGTCATCCATAATCATCGCTTAATGTTTCTCCAGGTTAAGCGAGATCTTTGCAGCCAATTTGAGATGAAAACTCTTGGCTCGGCTTCCTACTTTCTTGGCATGGAACTTGTGCGTGATCGCTCTCAACGCACTATCTATCTTCACCAAGCCAAGTATATAGAAGATATGCTGGCCAGGTTTTCTATGACGAGCCCTAATCCACTGGCGACACCAATGGAACTAGGCTGCCAGCTTTCACGAGCCATGTCTCCTGAGACAGAGGACGACAAGAGAGCCATGGACTCCATCCCTTACAGACAAGCTGTTGGCAGTCTCATGTATCCAGCTGTTTGTACGCGCCCAGATATTTCTTTTGCCGTGAGCAAAGTTAGCCAATTCCTGGCTAATCCTGGATCTCAACATTGGGCAGCGGTGAAACGCATCTTCAGGTACCTTCGAGGTACTACTTACCTTGGATTGTGCTACCAGGGAAAAGCGCTTACCCTCACGGGCTACTGTGATGCTGATTTTGGGGGAGACTGTGACACACGCAAGTCCACCTCTGGCTATTCGTTTTCCCTGGGCAGTGCGACAGTCTCGTGGTGCAGCAGGAAGCAAAGTACAGTGGCAAACTCTAGTACTGAAGCAGAATATTTGGCAGCCTCACAAGCTACCAAAGAAGGTGTGTGGTGACGCTCACTACTTTCTAACCTTGGTGTGAGTGTGAAGACTCCCACTCGCCTCTTCTGTGACAATCAAAGCTGCATTGCGTTAGCGGCCAATCCTCGCTTTCATTCACGCACCAAACACTTTGGGATTCATCATCATTTTGTTCGTGAGAAAGTGGAAGATGGCACAATTGAGCTGATCTACTGCGACACGACCACTCAGGTTGCAGATATCTTCACAAAAGCACTACCCCGAGATCGATTTCAAGTCCATCGCGAAGGGCTGGGACTTTCTCCACTGATGAGCATCACTCGTGATGGCCACAGTGCCAGTGGGAGTGTTGAGAGTGGCCTTGTGCCACGTGGCTAGTCCACGTGGAGAGACACGAGTCTTCACCGGTTCACTATGTCACACATATGTACATTTTCCATTCCATATATGCTATGACGGATTTTGAGCACCATCACACGGTTTCACTTTTCGTTACACAAGGAACATCCGCATCAATTCCTTCGATGATAATGTCAAGAAGCTTATGCTGGACGTGACGTACAGGTATGTTCCTCACGAATTTCATTACTGTCCAACGTTGGCATGCCTTGTTTTCTTGTCTTTCTTTTCATTTTTGCCAGGAGAGATGGAGTAGGCTTGTCGACTCCACAATTAGGCAAAGGCAAAGGGTACGTTTTCGTGAATCCAATGATTGTCAAGTTTGGGAAAGAGCGAGAAGCTGATACTCTCGAAGGATGCCTACCTTTTTACGGCGCTCAAGCCGATGTCTAGGTACTATTCCTTTGTACATAGAGATTCTCTTTTGTACCTTGCGTCTTTGTTTCCAGAGACTGATATCGATCCGAGTTGAAAGCTCAAGACATCAACGGGAAGAAATTTGGTACCGCCTTCAGGGGCTGGACTGCTCGAATTTTCCAACATGGAGGTAATGTCTCCTTTGTTTTTTTTTTTTGTGCAAACATCAAGGTGGCCGTGGTATTTGTTCGCACAGGGTGTCCTTTACATCGACCAGATGACTCCAAAAGCACTGAACTCAATTGGACAAGAACTTTTGGTAAGAGATTCCATAGTTGTGTGTGCCCTCATGTCGGCTTTGTTTGCAGAATCTGGAAGAGGAGTTTGAGAAGAGGTCTGGGACGCCTCGTCCCAATGCGGTTAAAGACAAACTGTTAAGTTTGATCCCGGTCGTCTCCTGTGAAGATGCTTGGTTCGATTACGCGTTCCGTTTTCAACTTACCGGAAACTTCAGCTGACGAAGAACAATAAGCGTAAAAGCGAATCCAACCGGGCGGTGAGTGCCTTGCTTTTATTTCCATCGTGAAGATGGCTAGAAGCTGAACCTTTTCTCCTTTTCTTTTCTTGTGTGATATTTTTTCAGGAGTTGACGATCCTGTGCCCCACGAACTACCATCTGAAAGCGATATGGCCAACCTTCATATCATCCTGGTTAACGCTGAGAAGAGAATCAGAGCACTGACTGCCTCCAAAACTACATCGGTGAAAAAGGCCAGAAGAAGTGTGAAGAAGAAACATGGCCAGCTAAGTGAAGCTCCATTGGGCGGGCCTTTTGTGTTGCCTCTCCTGAGGAGCCCAAGGAGGAGCTCTTGTTTTCCTGAATTTCCTGAAGTTCTTTCATACCCGACAACGGTTTATAGCAGCAAGGCTGACGCAATGCAGTTCCGAGGAAGAGTTGTGGCCATCACGGGTTGATAGATGGAGGTTTAGCAGTCCAGATGAAGACCTTTCTATTGGCTCGAGCACTTCAGCAGATTTCGGTCAGATTACCGGTCAGAATTCGGTCTTAAGGAGAGAGAGTTTGGAAGTCCCATCTCTCGGACCTTTGGGACGACTTCGTTATTCTCCAGGTGCTTTAATTCAAGCAAGATACTCGAGCAACGTTGCGGCAGAAAGAAAGTGCAGCGCTCCGGGCGAGGAAGTGGTCCGAGTCTTCCGGACGGAGGCGCGAAAATGAGGATATGTCCGGGAAAGCAGGTGTATCAACACAGGGAAGGCCGAGTTGCGACTCAGGAATTCAAACGCAACAACAGAGGTGGCAGCGAAAGTTCCGAAAGACCAGCGTCCGGAATCGGGAGAAGCAACTAGACGACGGCCAGGATGTTGAGATCGGCGTGGAAGGCTAGCAGGCAAAGTAAACAGTGTGGGCGCTAACCTCGTGTTTTTGCAAAAACTTGCCGGAGGATACGTGCGGGATTGAAGTTTCCGCGGTTGCCAAGTTGTTTCCAGAAGACTTAGCACTCTATAAAATCCTCTTTTTGATAAGGAGTTGTGGTCATGTTTTCAAGCTATCCTCTTATTGTTCTCTTCGCTCTTGATCTTCGACATTGTGAGGCTTTTTCCAGTATGGGCACTCGTGTCGCAGATGATAGATGCTATCTCGTAGCACACTATACGAGCGTGTGGTCGTACCTGTGGCCTCACATCTCGCATTCTTTGGACGTCGGGAGTGTGAACTTGGATTGGAGGGCGAGATTTTCTCTGTTTATGCTCTGGAGCGTGAGGTCTGTCTCTCAACCGCTGAAGCACTTTGGAAGATGGGTGGAGAAGGCAATTAACCTTTGTGCATCCAATGGAGGAATTCTCAGGACCTTGTATACTCTTTCGATGGATCCACAAGGTAACTAGAATTGATTTCACGGTTTTGACTTTTGTTTGTGTGCTGTTCTTCCAGCGCTTGTTGATCCTTCCGAGGATTCGGAGAGCTACCTAACTTTCAACGGCCACATGGAACCAAGAATCAGCCTCCTCCAAGCCCCTTCGTCTCAGCGTCTGTGTCTTTCATGTCCAGACTCCAAAGCGGTAGCAGATGTTTGTGCTATGGCGTCTAAGGTTGCGTATGAGAACCCAAAGTTCATCGAATTTGTCGTGAATCAGAATTGGAAGGTAAGTCCAAGCCTTGCACAACCTCTGACTCCATCAGCTTCTCCTTTGCAGATGCATCTACTAGGAACTTACAACTGTTGGAACGGTAAGAGGTCGCTATCCAGTTTCATCTGACGTTGCCCTCACCCTTTCATGCTACGGAGTCAGAAAACAAACTCGACTCAAGCATTCATCTTCGCGGATCGGGAAACTGATGCCGGAGCCATCGTTCTTGCCTTCCGGGGAACGGAAGCCTTCAATGCATACGACTGGTGCACAGACTTGGATTTCTCCTGGTACGAGCTCCCGCAGCTTGTCCATCTCGGATTCCTCGAAGCACTGGGCCTGGGCGACAGGACCAGGATGCAAAGCTTCCAGAGGTTGAAGCAGAACATCTACGAGAACTCGAGGACTCCGTTGCCACAGACTCCAACATCTGGATTACCCGACTTTGTCCTCAGCGATGAGACGAAGCTGCTCGCATACGACCACATCAGTGCGGAGCTCGTCACCATCCTCCGGAAACACAGAAACGCAAAGCTCTACATCACCGGTCACAGCCTCGGCGGCGCTCTGGCGACGCTCTTCACCGCCATGCTCTTCTACAACCGGGAAGAGAATCGAGTCTTTTACAGCACCGAGGACGACGTTGCCAGGAGGCTCGCGGCGCTCTATACGTTTGGCCAGCCCCGCGTTGGAGACAAGAGCTTTGCGTCCTTCATGGACACCAGCTTAAACAAGCCAACCATGAGGTACTTTAGAGTTGTCTACAATAACGACATGGTAGCTCGAGTTCCCTTCGACAACTCTCTGTTTGGCTTCAAGCATTTCGGGAATTCCTGCTACTTCACTTACAACTACACCCCAGGTACTTTACTCCGAGACACTGCTCTCTGTGTAGGATCCATATTAACTTTCTATGCAGATCCTTCCGGACGAGCCATTTCCCAATTTCTTCTCCCCGGTTTACATGGTGCTGTCCCGGCTTTACGCGCTGTTCGAGCTCGTCCAGAGCTTCTTCATGAGCTATAGATATGGCGGGGAGTTTAGCGAGACGAGGTTGTCCACTGTGGCAAGGATTGCAGGCTTGCTCGTGCCTGGGATCGCCGGCCACAGCTTGGTGAATTACATCAACTGTGTCAGGCTGGGGCCCGACCGTCTCGATCCGGCGTGCCTGCAAAACACGGAGTGGGATAAATCCCAGTAAGCATAGCAACTTCGTACATGTCAAATAAAACTTACACATGGTGTCATTCAGAAAATATAAAAAATGAACACAATTACATTGCCTTCAGAACTGAATGCACAATGGAATTCTCTTTATGGAGACAGAGCTTTTACTGGTGAAAGTGCAAGCATGGAATGAAACTATGCAATTTATCCTTACCACCCAGAAAGGAACCATAGACAAAGCACTGATGATCGACTCTATCCACCTTGACTATGAGTTCCACAAAAGATGGTGGCATGATTGTGTGGCTTGTTGCAATCAGATGTCCTCTATTTCTTTAACTACAGCTCTAACTCTACAATATCTTTCCACTCCAAGATTGCCACTTGTGCAAGGAGTGCTTCCAAGTTGAAAATGTTGTTGATGACTGGCGAACAACATTGATTCAAACATTCAATCCCATGGTTTTCAGAGAAATGGATTGAATAGTGAACATTAGCTATGCCATCTAAACCCAAGCTTACAAGAGCCATGTGGTAATACATTGGTAAAAGTTTTTATATTTTAAACAAATATAGTACTCAAGTCTAGGCTATATAGTATTACTATATATAAAGATAAACCAATCTCTCATATAGCTATTGGCTTATCATAATAAAAAATTTAATTACTTTTTATTTTCTTCTATATATAAAAATAACTCTAAATTTTATTTAAAATTCATTTTTAATGTCTATAATTTTAGTTCTTTTTATTTTAGTTATACATTGTAGAATTGTATTTGGTAAAATAGATATAGATTGGGGTAAACATAATTCACTTACTGAGGAAGATATTAATATAATTGTAGGTCATATTAAAAAACTTGCACTAAAATTACATGAATCTCATCCTTATCCACAAAATTATATTAATACTGATTTAATAGATATTGATGGAGGAGGTGTTGTTATAAGAATTCAACGTTTAGCTGAAAGTACCCCATATTGTTCTACAGGAATTTCAAATGGAAAACCAGTTTTAGGTGGTTCTCTCCAAAAATCAATAAATGAAATAATTAAAAAGGTAATAAATGATCTACTGCAAGCACTTTCTAGTGAATGTAGAATTGTGTCTAATAATTATCTTATTCAATATATATTAGTAACTCGTTGGAAACCATTGAATTATTTAGAAAATATAAATATAGTTTTCAGATATTTTGAAAATTGTGATATTACTTTGACTACTTTAAGTGCTGGTTTCTCTGATCATATTTTATATAAAGGTAAATTTTTACAATCCCCAAATCGTATGAATATACTATATATCAAAATGAATTGTAAACTTGCATTTGTTTCTGGAAAAACTAATTTATGGGAATCTCCAAATAATGAATATTTTGGAGAGTGTTTTTTAGATTTGCAAAATTATGGAAATTTAGTGTTATATAATTCTAAACGAAATGTATTATGGTCTCCCAATACGTATTGTTATGATAAACCAAACTGTTTAAACTGGTAAGCTACTTGACAACATATCCAAGCAGAGCTTGGTGGGCATTAGATTATTCTAAACATATTGGCTGCTTAAGCTAGAATTGTCTTACTGAATAGAAAATAATTTGCTCTTCAAAATGCCATAATATTTACAAGAATTGAAGAATCCGTCCTCTTCATTCCTCTTGACCTTCAGAACTAGCAGCCAAGGGGGACATGACTAGAAATCATGTGGGCTTGCCTGCGCAGGTTCGAATCCAACCTTGATTTTCTTCATTTTCTTTTAATCACCTTACTTTGTTTACGCAATTTGGACGAGTAAAACACACAAAAGTAAAGAAACCAAAGTAACTAGTCCACATTGTTCTCAGTTTCTTCATAAACACTTTGTCGTTCCCCCTGGCGTCCTCCATCAGATCATCCCGCCCCTCGTCTTTGGTCTCCTCGCTATCTTCCTGGATCTCATGCTTGATTATCACTTTCCTCCCCACCAAGTTCGTCTCCACCACCGCTGCCTCTTGTATCCTCGTCATGCCGCTCGACGTTCCTCCTCCTCCTCCCCCTCCTCCCGCTGCCACCGTCTTCTTTCTCTTGGCTCGCAGCACCGCTGTGGATGCCGGCCTTGAATTTCCTCCTCCTCTTGACTGTCCCCATGACGTCCTCCAGGCACTGGAACCGAGAATGTGTTAAGAACCACCGAGAGGACCACCTGATCCGGCACGGTTGTTCATGGATGCTCCTTTGCCTGAACCAGATACCCATTCCGGGCATACACCAGGATCAGGGTGTTGCATGCTTCAACAGTCATCAAATTGTCTAACGCTGTACGGCCTCCCCCACCATGCCGTGGGGCATCAAGTTGGCGGCCTTGATAAACTGGGCAAGAAGACGCTGGCAGCGATGGAATCCGAGGCTGGGACGCTCTGGGCTGCTTCTCGTGTATGCAATGAGCAGCAGGCTCCACCCCAGCGCCTTTTTGTGTGGCATCCAGTTTCTCGCTCCCACCACCTTGCCATAGCGGGCATAGGCCGCCATCATCTGATCCACCACCACGACTTGGCTCGAGGGAGAGATGATAACATCTGCCTGGCGTCCTCCAAATGCACATAGGCCTCGAAGATCACCCGGAGGGGCTTTCATGGCAGAAAATCCTCATAGCGCTAAACGATTTTCAATCACATCAACTGTTGATGATATATTTAAAAGAGCAATGCCCATATTTTGAAGAGATGATTTTCATGACTCACAAAAGCGCCTTCCCCTCCCAATTCCTCATATGGAGCTCCATGATAATTAACACTTTCTCAAAATCAAGTTAATTCCTCAGTGTCCAAGAGCGTTTGCAAAGCTGTCATATAATGCCCATGTTATGATCTGGCACAAAAATATAGAGATTTAATCTTCCTAAACTATGCTACATTTCCTTTTAAGGTTCCTCCCACCCAACCACCCCTGAACTACCTCAAAAACTCCATTGTGCCATTGCTTAATATGCCCATGAACCTCCCTTTGACCAACGTTGATTACATGGTCAAAGGTGGCGTTTAACAATTCTTCCTGCCCCCCCCCCCCCCCCCCCCCCCCCCCCAGACAACAAAGTCTTCAATGTGCCCTCCACCAATTTGCTTGCTGGGTGCACTAAACTCTCCCCATTGCTACTGGAATGGACATTCAATCTTCACTGCTATTAACCACAGCCGTGTGCTCGGGACTCTTGTACTTGTCATTGCTCAAAACCTGAAAGAAAACATTAACTTTGACTAGTCAGTCAACATTAGTAAACGAGACGCTGACCTGGGTCTGGTCACCCAGATTGACCACGAACGAGTACAGTATGGGCTTCACGGAGTACCACTTGTCATTGTGCATCACCTGGAGACCCTCGATGTGATATTGGAGAAGCAGCGTGATCGATCCGGGGTCCAAGTGTGGGGCAATTCCCAGCACCAGATCGGGCTCGGGGCAAGCGGGATAGAAGTTGAGAACCATGACTTGTGAGCAGCCATGGGACAATCCTGGACTATGGCAGAGTGTGGAACACTACTCCGCGATGCTGATGAGACTATTGGAGCTGGGATCTTGACAGTGACCGTTTAACATGTCCCAGCATCATCTTTCCCTTCCCGGGCCCCCGGACCAAATGCTCCGGATTGCTGCCATCGCTAAACTTGTCATTGCTGTTGTGCTCCACCATCTCCTCCTTGACATGCCTCCTCTTGAGATGGAGGTTGAGCTTGTACTCGTAGAAGTAGCACTTGTCACAACCTTTGTAAGGGCACGCGAATGGTCGACCGCCACCAATTGCTGCTGCTGCTGCTGCTGCTGGTTAGAGAAAAGCTGGGAAGGGACTTGACATACACTCGTTCTCTTCTGAACAACAGACACAGTCCAAGAAGTATCCAAAGAATTCTGGGATGTACAAACGGCAAGACACAAGTGACAAGACAACAACGACGATGGCGACGATGGCTTACCTTCTTCTCTGAAGGAAACAGAAGGGAGGAAAAAATCTGCTGGCATCAAGTCTTCATTGTTTTTGCAAGCACGGTGCAAGTTTTAGGGGCATTTCCCTCAACCAGTGCAACGTCTAACTTGCTTAAGGTGCTTGATGAAGTGCAAGATGGACTTGAGATGGAGTCCGAGATGGACCCGAGATGGACCCGAGATGGAACCAAGATCGAGTTCGAGATGGACCTGAGATCGAGTCTGAGATGGATTTGAGATGGAGTCTAAGGTCGAGTCTGAGATGGACCTGAGAAAGAGACTGAGACCAAGATCGAGACCGAATCAGAGACTGAGTTCGAGATTGAGACTGAGTCCGAGTTCAAGTCTGAGTCTGAGCCTAAGTCCGAGTTCGAATCCGAGTCCAATGGTGAAAGCCCAAAGTGTTTGTCTCCTAAACCCTAGGGGGTTTGATGAGCTCCAAAAGTATAGTAAGGGGGAGGACTTTAATGGAGCCAATTTAGCCAAGGAAGGTTATACTCATGTATTAAGTGATGATATAATCACTAAGGAATCCAAGGCTAAAGTAAATATAGATAAACAAGTGTAGTTTGGTGAAGTGTTCAAGAGCCAGCATTAGCTCCCCTAAGAGATTAAATGGTTGATGCTCCTAATCCAAGTGTGGGTGGTATTATCTATTTGGATATTTAGCATGGCTCATCAGAACCTCTATAACCACATGGCTAAAGCACCCAAAGGCAGAAGGTGGGGGAGAGTACCCACGAAGCTTATGTAGGACCACTGTGTTTTGAAATGTCATCCCAAAGTTTTAGACTGTGGAAAGGAAGAAAAGTAGTCCTTTTGTGTTATGATCACATGGTGAAGAAGTCCTAAAGGTTAATGGGACTTAATGGTCGGGCCTTTAAGCCTTGACCTAGTGG